GGAAGTGGGTCACACGGCATTATGGAGCTGCCAGTATACGCATCGCTAGCACTAGAGACATCAAGACCATTGATACCACCACTGCCATCAATTGAAGCTCGACATTTAAACGGCGTCCGGTTTTCTTAATAGTTCATAAAAGACAAGTTGTTAAGACAAAAGCTTTAGCCACCATAAGTCGCTTAAGGTGGTTAAGGGCTAATAGTGAATTTTATTACAATCAAACGAGTAGGCCCCCAGAGGTGGCGTCAGGCAGGATGCATATCTGGACTGTAATAATTCAGAATCACAAATGTGACATAGTAATGCAGGGGAAAAGCATATGAACAGTAAAGGTTTGTTGTTCCCACTATACATGTCGCCTCAATGATCAGGAATAGGAGACCTGAAAATAGCATAGGCGGCTTGGTTTAAATTAGTCCCACTTAGATCACCTAGCACTTCATTAATTGAGTCTCAAAAAGTATAGATAAATACATTGTGACTGAGTGGGCCAGAATTAGTTGTCTGTATAGGGCGGAAGGATACCAAGCCTGCTGCCTATGCTTAATTTATTCAGATCAATCCGATGAATTAGAACTTAGCAACCGTTCTTTCAAATGTATGGTAAAAATGCGAAAACGTTATTGGAAACGAAACCTGTCAATTTCAGTTTTTATCAGTAATATTCTTACCACCTCTGTCAGTTGTTTTGCATGCTTTCTTTAGTAAACTCTCATGGGCAGCACGAATGACCTGTCCTGCTCGGCGTAACTTGCGTCCTCTCGCCATCTCAATTCTAAGTGCAGCATCCTTAGGTGGCCTTCCTCTCGGGCGACGTAAACCAGAATCACTAGCACAATAGAGAAGTCAGACATTTAGGTTATAACATAGTAATGATAACATCGTAAAATTTTTGTCCACAATATAGCAAAAGAAAGGTGCGTGGGACTGCAAAATTTATAGCATTTATTCTTATGTAGATGCAATCATTGTGAGGCTGAGATGTGCGCTTATTCTGAAGTTGCCATGGGAAAATCAAGCCTAGATAAGAAAATAGTAGCCTGAGTGACATTAAAGTAATAAAGATGTACACTTTATGATGGAAGAAATGCTACAACAATTTAACTCACAATTGAACTTTGATCCGAGGCCTTACAACGGAGGAGGTTGATTTGAGCTCTTGGGAGCAACCTGTAGGAATGATAATGCACGTCCTGCACTAAATATATTAATAATATACCAAATTTTTTTTTGAAGATTTAATAAATATTAAGTTCCCTTAAATACAATTATACAATTAACTCAATCTTGAAAATACAACTCGCCTGACTTATTCTGCCGAATGCTAGCTTTCATTTCGCTAGAACACCGAGGAAGCATCAGGTCGTCTTGTAGCCGTGAGAAATCGTTGTCAAACATTCGGATGTGATCATCAACGACTTCGTATATTTTATTTGCGAAATCAGCCTTTTCGTCTGCTGTTGCATAGCCGATCCGCAAGTGTTCCTTTATTGCACTGACACGAGCGAGTCTATCTTGTGGTGACATACTCTCAGCATGAATAAAGTAGTCCTTTTGAAGGGCCCCAATCTTTTGTTCAATATCTATGATAGTAAAAAAATGCAAGTGCTGGAAACACGATGCCAGTCAGTTTGTCATAGAGAATTCGTAGTATAAAATGCATAGGGCGAAATACATTACCGCCCGGATATTAGGTTGAATAGAAAGAGTGTAATATAAATCATTCAGTAGGTATTAATGAGTTTATGAAGATAAGGACAGCAACAGAAT